AGGCTGTACCTTATTTTTATTCGTTCAAACACTATGCCGACATCGTTGGGCAACATCATCTGCCTCTGATGCGACATCGCCATCATCGTAACAACATGAGACAGATAGAACGAACGATTTTATTTTATCCTTTCTTCTATTTGAATTGGTTTTCAATATTATGTTTTCACGACGACCCAACTTAACCCTACTCCTAACCCCAACTCACACATGCACACCAACCTTACATGCATATACGTTATACACAATCAAACACAGACAGACACACCAATGTAACAATACGATAGACTAATCATTATTCTTTCTTTCATGTATATATATATATATATATGTAAATATGTTTAATGTTCAACACAAACATCTCACACACATTCATTACTAAAAAATTAACTTGTATTAAATTATTTCCAATTTGATATAAATAAATAATTGCTAGATAATTCAAAATGGGAGGAGTCAATTTATTAAAATTATTATTATTTATTAATTTATTTATTATGTTTGTTTTTAAACCAAGGTGATACCATTTAGGAGTACGAATCTCCGATTTTACCTAAAATGATTTAATAAAATTACCATGCAATTTAAGATTCGAGATGGAGCTCCTCAAAAATGGATGCTGATATCAACAATAATCTTCTCAAAAGAAATAGAAAAGAGAAAATATTTATTACTAAAACCGTTTTAGAGATGTCTTATGTAAAACAAATTTTGAAACCCAAATTTTTTTTCAATATTTTTTTTAAATATTAAAAAACTTTTTTGATCGGCTCCATTGGCCAGTTGCAGCTTGAGTCAATCAAACCACAGCTAAAGTTGAGCCGAGCTGCATCGGCTCAACTTGGCTTAGACTTAACATCACTAAGTGGAAGTGTTAAATAAACTATCATGTGAAAAATAAACATTGATTAGTATTAATAAAATAAGGAAAATATGAGTGTAATTTTTTGCATCCTTTTTGTACATTTTAAAACGTATAGTATATTAAACCTTCCTAACCTCACCTGTTAGGCATGATTTCATGCCCAATGATGAAATTATGTCTTCTGTGCGCAATGCTTAAGTATAAGTCTATGCTTTCCTGCCTACAGCAGTTTCAACATGAGAATACAAATCTGTCTTTTTTAATACATTTCCATTGTAAATGTGCTGTTTTATTGCATTTTATGAAATGTTTACATGAAATATATTAAAAGTGCTTTTTCTAAAATGGATTCATTAATTTTTAATGCTTTTTCAAACAACGGTCTGCAAACATCAAACTGGTTTTTCGTGTTAATTGGTGTATTAATTTAATGTAGTTGAACATCCAATCATATCCTATCAGTATAATTATAACTGTTGAAATTATAAAAAGACCATGTGGTGTGGCGTGTAATACTCAAGAAATATGAATGATAATATAATATTCACATTTACATTTATTCCGTACCATGCAGTATGTTTGTTGTGCAAGCTTTAAATGTTTCCTCATAACAATTATCATTTTTTAGTTTTTTAAAGAGTTGCAACAGAGGATGGATCTTCTGGTCGCCAAAAACTTCGACTCGTTAATTGTTGTTAGTATTTATTCTTTAAATTAATTATAACTGTGATTCATGTTTTTAGTTAATTGAGTGGAAGATCGTGTCATGGTGATTTTTCTTATAAATATAAAATAGACGATTCGGTTTTTTGTTCCTGCATAATCATCATAATCATTAATCTGCATTTGTCAGTTACACTGTAATTTTATATTATATATTGTCTAAATCATTTTAATTGAAGAAACGTTTGTTAACCAAGTTTCAATAAGGAATATTTATAAATAATTGCATCTATGAAATGAAACGTGCTCTCCATTGTGGTCTGATGATCATGTCTGAATAACAGATGTGATCCAAAAAATTATGGAATTCAGTTAATCTCTGTCTGCTGGATGACAGGTGATGGTCCGATATAGTATGCCACATATAAGGTTTATGCAATAAGAAAGGAAACATCACATGATGATGCGAGGTAGCAGGCTATTAGAATTTCTTTGAAGAGTTCATGGCTGATGAAGTTGGGGCAGCATTTATGAGATCGAAGATAACAATGCCACTAATTTTTACCAAGGTGATGAGTAAATAGGTTTTTAGATTGTCTGCTAACATCTTTTTGTCTCTGGATCAACAATTCATACAAGGCTGGAGAATTTGCAAAAGGGTCCAATCTGACTATTATCTCATTCCTCAACAATCGTGAAGTTGCCAATAATTTTTTAACTTGTATTTGAATTAAAATGTTTTTGAAAGATTAGCACTGTATTGTTCTCTGAGCTGCATATTTTCAAATAAACCTCTGCTGTCAGTTTAGTCAGCACATGGACCAGACTCATCTACAAAAACAGCTTTGCTAAAAATTTTTGGTGACAATAAAACATTGGTCATGGTAATCATGGTTTTACTGGCTTTCTTGGATCTAAGTCCCATGTTCGATCAGGCAGGTCATGCAATGCTGTTGTAGAGGTCGTTGGTTGGTATTGGTGGCGTGCTGTTTGATTGTTTTTTTTTTATTGAATTGGATGCAAAGATTGGATTGATGTTTGATGATGTGGAAATGCAAACAGGTGCGCCACAGGATTCATTGTTAGGAGGTTCTACGTTGATGCTCCTGTATGTTTCTGGTTCACCTGGTTTGGTGTATAATCATGTTTTGGCAGATGGTATGTAAGCATATGATCTGCAAATCTACTTCATTGCTCCAGTAAACAATGCTGAGGTCATTCCTTATGGTTTGGTTAGATGTATTGAAGGTGCAAAGAGCTGAATACTTACTTTTGAATCGATTGTAATTAAATTATGGCAATATGGAGTGAATATGGTTTTGATCAGTTCAAAAACTTGGAAGCGGTTTTTAACAGTGCAATGACAGTGCTTCTTGCATCTACAGAATATCACCTAGAGGGAATAACATGATGATGATAGTAATATCGCCGGTTATTTAACAAGATCACTTTAGAGGAATTTAACCTTTGCTAATATAAAAGAAAAAGATAAATCTTTGCTGATTTTTATGGAGAGAGAAAGAATGTAAGAGATAGCTAGAGTTTTCGAGGTTTGATCAGATCTAAAAATGTATGAAAACAAATTAAAATGTGTAGGAAATGGAAAATTTCAAAAATTCATATTTCGTACTACAATTTATCATAACCTGTAGATTTCTTCATTACCTCATTTCAAATTTCACTATTTTATTGTCTGTGCAGAACTTTCTGTTGCGTGTTTCAGTTTTTTTTTTTTAATTTTATTTGATTTATTTTTGTACCTCATTGAAATTTTTTAGGATGAAATTTTAAATTGCATCAGAGATGATGGGAGTTACGACTCAATATTCAACCTCTACCTTAATTCTTCCAGCAGGTTTGCATATTGTTTATGATTTCAAACAGGAGAATTTTTAGCTCATGGATGAATATTTTTATTATATCAACACCTGACTTCTTGCATTCAACTTTCAATTTATGGCTAATAATAATTTTAAATTGTGCAGTTCATCTTGTTCATTTGCAGATAGTTTTTCAAATAAAATTTATGTGAAATTTAAAATGACAGTGATGGCGACAAGAAAATGATCTTCGACCAGTGTTATAGACTCATTTTAAGAGAATACACAGTAAGTTTAGTTTACGAACCTAATTTTTATTTTACTTTAAAATGATTTTCTTTAATGAACCAGCTGTTATATCGTTTTTGTAATTATTCATTTTCTTCCTGTTGTCCATATTAATAAGAATTGGTTCTTTATGTTAAACTGATTGGTTGTTGTTTGTGGTGGTGGTTGTACGCACGTGGATCATCTATCTAACCCAAGGGTGTGCCACTTTTGAGAGCAGCTTGAGAAGTGACACACAGTTCATTGGAGTATGAAAAAACAAATAAATTAAACGAAATAGCAAGAATATAGTTTTTCAGAAATATGTAATAAAAACCTCAATATCAAAATGAAAATGTTTGAAATAAATTCAACCAACCGTGACCTAACGAGACACTATCTAAACCAAATGACTGGTTAAGACATTATATAGTGACAGACATTAAAGAAGTTGATTTTGTTATATTTAGTTTGATGATAATTTGAATTTCTTTTGGACTTATTGACGTTCATGACTGCTTAGTTCTTTAGCCTTCTTTGTGTCAAAATTGCAACATGCATGGGTGCCTAATCTTTCAAAAAATGTTTTGGTTAGATGTCATTATTAGTTTTTATAACTACCTGTTCGTTATTTTGCTGTGAAATTTGGAAAAGATGCTTGGGAAAGTACTTGTCTTTTATTCAATGTGTAATAATTTGAGAAAAAGGGAAGGCTGTTTTTCAAGGGGCTTTCCTTCCAGATCTGGAAGTGTAAAAAAGTAGATACGAAAATAATAAGATAAGAAATGCAGATTGTGCACCACTTAATAATCTAGAGAATGTATGTAATTTTTCCATTTGAAATCTAACATACTGATGCTTCATGGAAGAATTACTGGCACCCTAACTTGTCAGAAAAGATATTTTTAAACAACACAGGTGTTTTTAATGGAGAAGAAATTGATTTTTAGTTCTTTTGTTTTTGTTGTCACTGAAGTCATATTTTTATCCAGTTAAATGTATAAGAATTGATTAGTTAGTTACTCTGGTGATCATGGTAACTCAGAAGATAAAATGTTTGGGCACTGTGTGGCGTACAAATGAGTGCTGTGCGAACAAATGTACAAGAGTGTTTTTGTTCTATTGATTTTTGTTGATTTATAACTTATAACAATTCTGTTTTTTTCTTAGGTTGAATTATCAGATCAAAATAAGATGGAAAAGTTTATTGATTTGTTGGTGTACTCTGTGCAGAAAGGTTTCTTTTAGCAATGTTGCCTTTTTGTATATTTATTAAATTTATTTCATGCGTTGTTTTTTGATAGAATGATTGGTCTCCATGCTTCTAATTATTTTATAAGAAGTATATAAAAGGCTAAACATAATTTTAATTAATTGTTGAATGTGGCTTGATTTCAGATGTATGCACAGCGTCAACGTTGTTCATCCTCCTCTCAGACCTTTTTGATATGATCACGCTGGACCAGTGTGCCCAACTCTTCAAGTACCTCGATAAAAACGTCGAAACCTGGAAGAGTGTTAGTGACCAAATAGCGTTTTTTATATATGCACGTATACTTTTAATTTTATTTGAATTTGCATGACCATAATTTTGAAAGATTTGTAACATTCTTTTTGAGATGAATTTTATTCGTCAAGTTCATCTTGACACACTCAATGGATTCCTGATGTCAGTCGAGACTAAATACATCAAATTAACTTTTGATTTTTATTGCTATTTATATCACAGTTCTGACAAACACAGAGATGTGGCTTTACTTCAATTTACTTACCTGCAAATTAAAAATTGTGAATGAAAAAGTTGCCAGGTTAAAAAGAAACTACTGCAATGAACATTACACTGCTTTGGATACTGCACTGAACTTACGTGCCGTTTTTTATTTTCAGGTTGACACAAGCCAACTGAACCAATCCACTTTTTTTTTATTCTACAATAGCATATTTTCACGCTTTTGCCTCCTTAAATAATATTTTAATATACTAATAATAACTTTGTATTGAGTATCCTGCTTGACCAACCATATAATGCTCCAATAATTGCTTGCCAGTAACAATGTGCTTCGCATTTGAGCTTTTGTAATGTTTATCTGATTTTTGTTAAGTTTCATAAGAACTAAAGCAGGTTTTTTCATTAATAAGTAGATGGAAACAATTGCATTGAGTAATACTTCATCGGGTTATTCCTTCTCATTGTCAATTTCACACTAAAACTTTGTTCATTTCTTTCTATACTGCAGGAGATGTTTTACAACGCAGGAAAAAATTATCTGCTCCGTATGTGCAATGGTAATTTAAATTTCTATTTAATTATTTTGAGCAAAAATTTTAAATAAATTTGGTATACACCTATTTTTTAATATTTCTTTGGTCAATTCATTTACAGTTTCTGTTTGTTTATTTATTAATTCTTATGTTTAATCATTTGAAACATTTTGTAACCTTAAGATTTGTTGAGAAGACTATCCAAATCAAGGAATACAGTATTTTGTGGTCAGATCCAACTTTTTTTGGCTCATCTCTTTCCCTTGGAAGAAAAATCAGGTTTGTTTATTCAAAAGCATATATATATATATATATATGTATGTGTGTGTGTGTGTGTGTGTGTGTGTGTGTGTGTGTGTGTGTGTGTGTGTGTAAATTTTAATTGTAATAATCATCAGCATCACTATCATCACCATCAACACTATCGTCAGCGTCTAGCACACACGACGTAGCTGTCTTGAATATAGGATTAAATTTCTATTGTTTCTTAAACTTTGATTTCATAACTTGAAAATGGTTGCTGTTATATTTCGCTGAATGACTGCTTTCACATTCCAGGTTTGAATTTGATGAGTAACTTCAACATGGAGAACATGATCAGTTACAACAAAAATCCGGATCAGTGTGAATTCAATAAGGTCTTTCTTGTTATGTTTCTAACACTGTAAATATGATATTCCTTATTAAGCTCATAAAAATCTAAATAAGGCATGTTTTATCATTTAAAGTCAGAAAGTTAATTATGGTCGGTTAATTAAGTTCTATAGGATGTTGAAGCCTTATTTTGTATTCACGCATTTTTCATATATCAGTTTATGGTAGTTTGTAATTTTTACTCGTTAGGCAGGTGAGATCTTTATGTGATATTCCAAAATTATGAAAATATTTCATTTTTAGTAATTTCGGAACATAAAAAAGTTTTTTCTATTAATTTCTAAATCGTAAAAATATTCATTTTGTAATGTTAATTTGTAATATAATTTTCCAGGATCACAAATTGTTACCCAATTTTTCCTTTGAGAAAGAAAAAAATATGCAAGTATTTTTGCGTTGTTTCAATTGAATTTGTCATAATGGTTAACACATTTGATGCATTAATCATCCTCAGTGACATCACAATCGACTACAACTTGTACAAAAAGTTCTGGACGCTGCAAGAATATTTTAAAAATCCAACTCGATGTTACGGCACTGGGGCTTGGAAGACTTTTACAGGGGTGATTTGTGATTTTGTTTCATCATTTAACGTCTCCTAGATGCTTTTATGTGATTCTATCATTCATTTATCTCTTGATCTCTTATAGAGATTTTTTGAAACCACAAGCATTTTGTTTATATGCAACTCTTTTTCATTTCTAAAAGTTTTCTTATTTGAATGAATCAGCCAATAAACTGAAACAACAGTCTCCATCTGCACATCTCCATCATGACATCCCTGCTAACTAATTAATTGCCTTGCACTCAAACATCTTCTTCAATTAAACATTCCTAGAGTGTTAAAATATTAATTAACCCTAGGTTATGGTGTTAAAATTATCAACTGATTTTTTTTCAGTGTGCAAGTGGTGTGTTCGGATGCTTCAAAAGTTTCAAATTGAGTCAGGTGAAGATGCCCGCAGACAATCAAAAAAATCAGAACTTCAAGCAGGAGTGTTGTTTTGCAAAATATTTAACCAGTGATAAAGTGCGTTGATACGACGAAGTTTATTGTTAAGTTTTGTAATCAATTTTTTTCACAAAGAACGACATATTTTCAATGTGATCTGTGATTTGGTGCGAGGTGTCGTTGTTTCAAAATGGAAACTGCTGGATGATCAAGTGGTGAATTTAGTGGATGAATGTGAATGTCTGGTAGATGGCATCAGAGTGTTTGTTGCGTGGGAATCTAGAATGATGTAGTTATTTGAAGAGTTTATGGATATCTTTTATTAAGATTTTGAAATTATATATACATCACTTGTATGCTTGATAAGATCTTTTAGTTACGTATCTATTTAATTTATTAGTTAGATGACCACACGCTTAATTATTACACATCCTGCTAATAATTGTAATTTGTTGGTTTTGTTTTCAAATGTTGTTCTTTTATGTTTCAGCTCTTCAACTTGCAACTCAGCGACAGCAACTTCCGGCGAAATGTATTGGTCCAATTTCTAATTCTCTTCCAATACTTAACATCACACGTCAAGTTCAAACTGTTGGTCGATTTGTACATTATTTTTCATTGCATTATTTCAATTTTTTATTTACAACATTGCCTTCCAAATTCAACTGTATACCTGTCAACAGTTCGCAGATTTGTTTTAAATTCATTTGCAAATGATGAACCTTCTTCTTCATTTTCAATTTTCATTTTTAATTTTTTTCTTAACTTTCATACAGACAAGTTACAAAGTTGTACATTTTCCTTATTTTTCATTTAACTTTGAAACTGTTGATGCATGCAGTTCAGGGCACGTCCTCAGCGAGGATCAAATCTCCTGGATAGCTGACGCCACAAAAACAGTTTACGAGCTGCTCGAGGAGACACCAACTGATGGAGAACTGTTCGCAAAAACTGTCAAAGTACGCTAAAACAAATATTTTCTATCAGCATATTGGTTCTAAAGTGTTAATTTTATTCAGTAAATAATTAATAACACTTCAATATTTTATTGTACGTTGGTTTCGAAGAATTTTTTAATGCTCTATATTCATTCTTTGCCTCCTTTCCACATTAATTTATAAAAAAATCAGTTTTCTCTACATTGCTTCATCGTCTGTTACATTCAGCTTTTTCTAAACATTTGTAATTTGATAGGGGCCTAATTTTTTATTAACACAGCAAAAAGAGTTCTTGTTGAGAAACGTGGCATAAAATAAATTACTTCATTAATATTTTTGATTGATATGTTTTTCAAGCTAGATGAGCTTTTTTTTCAAAAACATCAGTCATTCCTTTTGTAGTTTTTTCTGTTTAGTTTACAGTTAATTTAGGCAATAAGCATTGATAGGGATAGATAAGCATAAATCTAATTTTATCTCATAAAATGCAGACATTTGAAGCCACCCACTTAGTCTTACATGCTTTTTATTTTTTGTCATCTAATTTCATTTGTTCTTTTATTGTCTGTTAGTTTTATTATTTCATCAGATCTGGCGATTTTTAACTTTCAGTAAACTTTATTCAACCAAGTTGCTTACATGTCTACCATAGAATGAGACCAGATTAAATGCGTTGTATTGCTGTCGATAAACTTGAAGATATACCTTTATTATATGGAGGAGGAGAATTGTAGTTATGATGAGTCGTAAAAAGTGAAGATAACCTCGTTCAAGTTGATGGTGCTTACATGATTTTGATTATTGTAACTATAAAGACATTGGAACCCTAATCATAGAAAGATTGGAAAAGATTTGGCTTGAGTATGTAGTGGATATGAAAGTTGGCTATTATTTGCTCATTTTGTAAGAAAAATTACTAAAGGGATGCAGAATTAATTCTTAAAGATGAAGTGAATGGTAGTAGCGTCCGCAATATTATTTGATTGAGTGGCATTATGTTTATTTCACAGCATACTTTGGATCGTGAAGAAAATTGGATCGCTTGGAAGAATGATGGTTGTGCCTCTTTCATAAAGAAGAAAAACGCACCGACACAAAACATCGTACCTCCACACAACAGGTTTTTTTTCTTATTCTGTAAATCAAACTCTGCCAGTTGCAGAGGAAGTAGCAACATGCAAGGTGTGAAACGATGAAAATAAAATATGAATTTAGAACAATTTTAAAATAATACAAAGAATATTGTTGATTACGTGTGGGAAAATGGAGATTGCAAGTGATTTGTTAACATTCCTTTCTTAGAACTCCCAAGAGCTGTTTGTTATTTTTATCACAGACTATACCGTAGTTGAGGAAAATTAAATAAAAAAATTCACAACTCCCAAAGCAGAGCTACAATATTTCGGCGTAAACTCTTCCAAATGTTCGACATTTGTTTTCAACTTTTTCATTTACTTCTGGCAAACATTCTTTATTTTCTACTGCACACGACCTTAAATGTTCAGTTGACATAGCTAAGGTAGACGGAGGATAGTGAAGCACGACGATAAGATTACCTCTCAATAAGAGCTCATGATAATCGAAGAACAATCATAATTAATGATAAAATAATGATATTGAAAATATTAAAATAATTTGCGAAAGTGAAGAAAACTGAAAGGCGATAAGTATAAATCGGCCTATGATTGTACGTTATAAATTAATCATAGCTAGATAATTATAATGTAATAATTTTTTTTTTTTGATAAATTAAATTTTCGAAATATATTATACAGAAGTAGAAAAAGAAATATTGGAATGGACTTGAAATCGAATTCAAAAGTGATGAAGTTAGGCAATCCTGAAATGACCAAGCTGTGGAACCTCTGTCTGGACAACGAACTGGCCTGCAAATCACAGGACAGGTCCTTATTTCTTACGTTTCACGCACACACAGTTGTACAGCTTTGAAAATGCTGCGATATTTCTTAATAATTGTATGTACGACAGTCTCAATCCTGAAAAACGAATTCTCACCACTGTACATACAATTTAATTTTAAAATTTGTTGAAAGGAATTTTGTTGCTGACATGAGTGTGTACTTCAGCCAAGCCATGGAGCAGCTGGATCCAAGTGCCTCCATTGAAGAGAGCTACAAGTCTGTTGATGTTTTCTTTTAACTTAAGTTTTCATCTACTTGTGATATCTTAGAGTATCATAGTTTGTAGGGTATCTTAGTTTGTAGGGTATCTTAGTTTGTAGAGTATCTTAGTTTGTAGGGTATCTTAAAGTGAGATATCTTAGATATCTTAGTTTGCAACTTATGATAAATAACTTTAAAATACAATTCACTTACCTTGATGAAAGAAAATAAGCATTTATTGTAACGAAGGTCGGTTAGATAGAGTGAGTTTGCAGAGGCAAGATGTAGACTTATGTATGTAGATGTATGTGTAATGAACGTTTTTTCAAAATAAATTAGCTGAAAAGCGATTAAATAAAATTTTTTCAGAAATTTGTGTGCGTAATGTGTTGAAACTGTTGGGAGTAGTATCATTCTTTGCATAAGTTATAATTAACCAACAAACGTTGCTACAGAGTGCAAAGAGTATTTAGTAAAACTATAGAGTTGTTTGTAAGCATTTTAAGCATGAGCTGAGTAGAAATGCATTGATGGAACAAATTCAGAAGAATTGAATCGAAAATTATACTAAAAATGTTTATTGAACCTCAAAAGATTAATATATTAAAGATATGCAATAAACTGCATCTTTTATATACATGTATGTAAACTTACTTTGACGATGCTTGTAGAAGCCTAAGAAGGCTGGATGGAACAAGATTGAGAAGAATAAATTAATAACATTGATGTTCACGACATCGATAACAATCATTAAAATGTTTAAAAAGAATTAAATAATTAATCAGTTAATTATTAATTAATTAATTTTGATTAAGAAACACAAAAAAATTGAAAAATTTCAGGTTGATCAACAATTCAACTTTTGCATGGAAGTCTCTAAGGCTTTTAGCGAGTCAAAGTCCTGCATTCTTCTCTCAAATGCACGCAAATGCAACTCCGATTAAAAATATTCCTCGCTATTTAGAACTGATGTTAAACAAACTGAACAAAGAGCTACCTGTAAGTTTTATGCTTATGTTCGACCATTGTAATTGTTTTTCTACCTAATCCTTGCAACTTAAACAATATTTCAGCAACCACCCCTCTCTAAGTCACTGAATGACATTGATGAAAGTGTTGAAGATATAAAAGAAGAAGTCATTGAGGATAAGAAGATTACTGAAAATAATACTGGCAGCGAAAGCAGCTCTCAAGAAAACGACGATGAGATGATGGCTTCTGACGAACAATTTCAAGATTTTGTCGTCAAAATTGGCAACAACTGGAAAGCTCTGGCGAGGATTGTTCTGAAGGACGAAGGCGTGGTCAAAGAGATAGAAGAACAGAATCTACCAAGCGATGAGTCATGTTTCGAAGTCATTGATGAATGGAAGGTAACGGGATGAATACTTCATTCATTCATTCATTAAATTTTTTTCTTTTATAATTGTTGCTATTAAGTTTCGTTAACTTTTCAATTTATTTTCCTGTTTAAGTGATGTAAAATCCAGACTTTGAAACATTCATCTACTTTTGTTGTTTTCAAAGAGCATCACACGTAGCCTACGTGCATGCATGCTACAAGTTTAATTCATGTTCAACATTGGATATCATAAATTATAATGATTATCAAAGATTCAGATCGATGTTTTGCTCACAGCGAATATCAGTTGAATTATTATTATTTGTTTGTATTATTAAGAGTGCACAAATCATATCTTGATATACTGTAAATAAAATGCATAAAATAAATTTCATTTTCAACTTGTCAAGGTCACAAAAATTTCTTTGATGCAACTTTTCTTTGCGGGCAACTCTCCCATTTACTTTCTTTCTTCGTTTTCATTAATAATAAAATGGTTGATGGTCTTGAGTTTTTGAGTTGTTGGTACGCATGAAATTTTTGTTGTCATTTATCATTACCAGTAAACCTTTCTGTCACAACTTTTTCAGCGATTTCTGGTTCACGTCTGTCTGAGTGACCCCGCTATAAACAGCTTCATTAATTCTTAAAACTTCTTTATGGGTTTTTGTTTAATATTTTTTAATATTCGGATTCTGACAACAAACATTTTAGTTTATATTCTTACATAAAAAAGACAAACAGTTTCAACACCGAGTCAGCATGTCCTCACACCTCAAAGAAATCGTAACAGCCACACATTACTCACTCAACAACAATCGCCCTTAGCCACCCATATACACCCAACAACCACCCACAATCACAATGTTATTCTTCCATCTCCCACATCGAGCAATAGAGATTTTTACTGGTTTTAATAGAAATGAAAACTGAGAAATGAGTTTGTAGAAATCTTGGCAGGTTGTCGATCATTCTTAAAGTTTCTATTTCTATTATTGCGTGCAGTTTCCATTGGCTTTGGCCTCTTATTTGACGTTTCGCAAATATGTATAAAGAGTCTTAGTTTGCATTTTTTACATTTTAAAATATACTTTACTATTTTCCAAGGCAGTTTTTCGTGGTATCTTTTTTACCTCCACTTTCCAGCCCAATTGATACTCAACATTGTTCTGTAGCATTCCGTTTCAAACGTTTCTAATTTATATTTATCTTTTCTTTGTTGACAAGAGCGGTGCCGTTGTAAAGGATATTGCCGATCCAAGTTGTTTTAAACTGGTTTAATAATTGTTGGGCTGTTTTTTCGTTCCAGGTTAACTGGAAGTGATAACATGAGTGTTAATGTGTTTCCAGCTTATATATGTTGCGTAAATTTTACTATAAAACAGATGCTTAATGTTGTAAAGTAATTCTTAAGATTTCTTTTTACCTTATTTTAATGTTAGTTATATAGAATTTACGACATTCTATTTTTTATTTCAATACTTTGCTAATTGCTGAACCTACTCGATTATTTGTAATTTTTATAACATTAATGATCACATTTTAGTTATTTAATGAGTATATTTTTTATTTTCACATTGCGTCAACGTTCCAGGTTAGATGCAAAACAAAGATTTCTCAAGCGGCATTAGACGAAGTTTTAGACAAGCTACGATGTAACTGATGCTTGGATGGGACTCAGAAATGTTAAATATTTTGACATACAGTAATCGACTACATTTTCATTGTACTGTATAATATTTACTCGAGTAGTAATATTGAAAACATTTTTTTAATTATTGAATAAATGCAATTCCGCGGCACAAATATGAATATGTATATATGTTATTAGGTTTTTGTAATTTTCTTAATTTTCAAAGGAATCATTAGTACATTCGGGTTATGTGAATAAGCGCAGCGGATAATCACCCCTTTATGTAGTCACGTACTTGTGGATTCAATATATATATATATATATATATGTATATAATATATATATATATATATCTGTGTATTAATGTAGACAGATGGGTTGAAAAAAAAGTATGGCCCATTTTGAGTTCATACAATTTTTATGAAAGAATGTTTCGGCAAAAATTCAATTTTTAAAGCCTTAAGATTCAATCTTCAAAGCCTTAAAATAAGTGAATTTATATAAATCACCTTTAAATAAATACGATTAACAAAAACTTTGTCGTGTGGAGTTATTCATAAGAAAGTTATAGAATTTAAAATAAGTGGGTTACAATTTTTAATAATGCTCATGTGGGTGGATCAAGCTTCGCCTAGAAAAGCAAACAATGATTATTTTTTCTGCATACGCACCACAGACAGGCGAATCAGAAGAGATGAAAAATGACTTCTGGGCTGCGTTTTCTGACACCATCTCAACGATAACAAAATATGAAACAATCCTGATTGGAGGCGATCTCAATGGCCGCTTTAGATAGAAAACAGATGGTTTTGACAACGTGCATGGCGGTTTTGGCTATGGAAAACGGAATGAAGATGGTAACCGCATCCTTGAGTTTGCTGAAAGTCACAGGTTTTGTTTACTAAACATATTTTAGAAAGAGGTTGGAACATCTCATAACATACAAATTTGGACCATCAGCCACGCAAATTGATTTCTTCGCTGACAAGCAACAACATCGAAGGCTATTTATAAATGTCAAAGTTATACCTGGCGAATCATGTGTGGTCCAACATAGACTCCTTGTGGCAGACCTGGTTGTCGAACTGTCACAACATAAGTCTAAACAAATGCCTCGGAGAATCAAAACGTGGAAGCTGAAAAGCATTATTCATCGAGAAAAATTTCAACAGATTGTCGCCACACAGTTAGACCACCAATCGCAAGCCAGTACAGATTGGAGTACATGCAAAACCGTTTTGATAAACGCTGCAACTACAGTTTGTGGGGAAAACTGGTACAAAATGTCAGCATAAACGGGACACTTGGTGGTGGAATGCAATAGCTGAAAAGAAAGCTGCATACAAGCAATGGAAAAAATCAAAGTCTGTTGATGACCATAAAATTTTCCGTGAGAAAAACAACTATGCAAGACGTCAAGTCGCACTGGCTCGGACAGATCAATGCTGAGAGTGGTTCACTAAAAGCAAAGGTAAACAAATGAAATCTCAGTATCGTATAGCAAAACAAGCAAAGCGTACGAAAAAAGACATAGTTGGTGCTTCATGTATCAAAAACGACAAAAATGAGATGGTCCTTGAACAAGATGAGATCAAGCTACAGTGGAGAGAATACTTCGAGCGTCTGTTAAATGAAACAAATCCCATCAATGTCAACTTTGACGCTCCATCCATCGAAGGTCTGATTCCAGACATCACTGTAGAGGAGCTTAGAGAAGCTCTGAAAGCTATGAAGAATAGAAAGGCAGCAAGGCCCTCTGGAGGGACTCACAAATGACAATATCAAAGCATCTGGTACTGCAGGTATCCAAACGTTACTACAACTTTGCCGTGAAGTGTGGAGAAATTGCTCAATGCCGACTGAATGGAACTATAGCATGGCAGTTCCGCTATACGAAGGCAAAGGTGATCCATTGAACTGTTCATCATATCGGGTTAGAACATTCCCTGAAAATTGTCGAGAAAATCATTAAGAAAAGGTTAACGTCGTGCATCACAATCGGAAATTATCAAATTGGTTTCCTAGCAGGGAAATCAACAATTAATGCAATTCACATCCTTCGGCAACTGCAAGAGAAGTACCTCGCAAAGCATCAACAACTATCACACGTTTTTGTAGACCTTGAAAAAGCATTTGATCGAGTTCCCCGTGTAGCAATCAGGTGGAGTCTACTTCGACAACTCATTCCAGAATATCTTGTTCGACTTGTGATGGAAATGTATACGAATACTAAGACATTCATCAGCCCAACGGTTGGAAACACAGATGCATTTGACATCGGCGTTGGAGTTCACCAAGGCTCGATTCTCAGTCCACTGTTATTTATAACTGTTATGGAAGAAATCACAAAACCGATACGCACTGGTGACATTTAGAATCTAATATATGCTGATGATATCGTTTTAACAGCCACGTTTGAGCAGAATGCAGCACAGATGTTTGAAGATTGGAACACCAGACTTGCCGATCATGGATTCAAAGTAAACATTAGCAAAACCAAAGCAATGAACACTGGTGAACCCATCCAATCCACAGCTACTGGACGATGACCCTGTTCAGTTTGTAAAGCTGGTGTAGGTAACAATTCAATCAAGTGTCAGCAGTGTAACCAGTGGTGTCACAAACGTTGTTCAAAAATAATTGGTACTTTATATAAAGTGTCCAATTTTGTTTGTCCTGCTTGCATTAATCCACAACAACAAATATGAAATAGCAATGTTTTTGAAGCCATTAAGGTAGAGAAATTCACATAGTTTCAATATCTTGGGGATGTTCTGGATTGTACTGGAACAGCTGAAGCTGCCGTTCGAGCACGCACACGCGCAGCCTGAAATATACGACATCTCCTTGCCTCTATATTGATGCGGCGTGGCATTCCACTACCACTACGATCAAGGCTTTATAAATCTGTGATACGTCCGGTGTTGTTATATGTGGTATAGAATTTTTAACTGGATTTGCTTTATTGCATTCAAACGAAATGGAAAGTGCCATAACTTCTCTTGCAGATGTTGAAGTACTTGGCACACGTCTCAAAGGCCGTCCAAAAAACTCCTGGTCGCAAACAATCGAGCAAGACATGAAAGCTCTAAATTTAAATTAAATGAATTTGGCGCCAAAAATTGATGGCCAAGAAAACAACGTCCTACCTCGGAGAACTTGGTCTTTGGACGCTAAACGAAGATTGATTGACAATTTTTAATAATGCCTGCATCAACAAAAACCGTGCCCATTAATATATATTTACATTATTCTATAAATTCTACCGATTTTTGGCATTAATTTGCATGTAGTTCGTCTAATTTATTTTTCTCATTAAGTTTCTTAGAATTCATTGTGCAGATAAGCTTATTTTGATTCTAATAAATCATTTTCAAAGGATTATATAGTTATTGAATAAGAAAAAAAGA